GTTAAATTGAAGGAGTCATACAAGTGAAGTTATAATGATAAAAAGCTGAACTAGGAGAACTTCTGTATCTAAATGTTTTCAATAGTTAAAATATAGAACATATGCACTATATCATTTAGTTAAAACAAAACACTTTAATACCTCAGAATTCACCTGTGGGCTTTATTCTACAGAATACATTCAGTGCTGAAAAGTTAACTGTAAGAAAATTATCAAAAATTATTTCTCTTCTTTGACTGTAAAACCAGAGAAGTATTCCCCTGGAAATTTCTAGCATTATGACAAATGACATCATTCTTAAGACCGTTCTTGGTTTCTGATATTCTTTCCTCTTTTCTCTAGAAAACAGCAACAGTCATTGGGATTAGAACAAGGAAGAATAAAATGCGGCGAATGTTGGGGCTTCCCTGGTGGCGCAGTGCTTGAGAGTCCGCCTGCCGATGCAGGAGACGCGGGTTCGTGCCCCGTTTCGGGAAGATCCCACATGCCGCGGAGCGGCTGGGCCCGTGAGCCATGGCCGCTGAGCCTGCGCGTCCGGAGCCTGTGCTCCGCAAATGGGAGGGGCCACAACAGTGAGAGGCCCGCATAACGCAAGGAAAAAAAAAAAAAAATGCGGCGAATGTTAGTTGTGTAATAAAATACCTGCAATAGGTACAAGTGTTCTTTAGGAGTTTTTGAAAGACCTGAAATAACATGCAAAAATTTTTGTGAGTCGATGTGTGTGAATTTTTTCTGCAAAAAGGATCCACAATTTTCATCAGATTCTACAAGGGGCCCACTTTACTGATGCTTAAGAGGTCCTGCCCAACCTCACCTCCAAGAATGTGACGCTCCAAAATGACCCAAGGACAAAATACAGAGTGCCTGAGGACACGTGATTAGGCCACTGTGCCAAGGGGTAAGCTTTCAGTTACTGTAAAAAGATTACAAATAACCCTAGACTTGGGCACAGCCTTTGGTGGATCATGTCTCTCCTGTTATACAGGTCTTTTCGGGGTTGTCTCATTGGACTGGTGCACGTGGGGTGGCCAGGGCTGTGCTGCATCAGCGAGTCTGCTGACCACCAGGTATGTGTGGGGCAAAGGAGGCTAGAGCAGGAGGTCTAGGAATTAGGGAAAAGGGCAGGCTGAGCTTTAAAATATAAGATGTACCACTTTCTACAACAGCAACACTTGTGTTCTCCACCAGTGTATCACGAAGGTCTTTTTTTGTTGTTAAGACCCTGTTTTCCAGATCCTTTTTCTTGTCAGGTGATGTAACCATCGCCTTTCACATATTCTGGCTAAAAATATTTAGCTTTTAAATAATCAAGCCTTTATTCCTAACTCCAGTTTCAGAAAATACAGAAACTAGAGGAATGTGGCAAATGACACCACAGGAAGCAATCAGACAAATGTAGAAGGTGGGACATTCTATAGGACAATGTGTCCAGTTTTTTCCTTTAATAAATCAGTTTTGCAAAGAAGGGAAAGAGATTATGTAGGGTAAGAGATTTCAAAGGCACGATAATCAGAAGTACTATGGCCTGGTCTGGACAAACTAACTTTAAAGGACAGTTTTGGGTAAACTGGGCCTCTCTGAATATGGATAGGGTATAGGAAGATATTGCTAATTTTGTTAAATGCAATGGTGTTTTAGCTAGGTAAGAAAATGTACTATAAGAGGTGCATACTTACATATTTGGGGGTGGAATGTTGTGATGTCTATAATTTATTTCAGAAAGACACCTCATCTTAAAAAATAAAAAAGTGGATTAAAGAACTGTCTCCAACGGACCTGCTGCCAGTTTGTGTCAGAGGAAAAAGCCAGTGGGTCTTCTGCTGGAGCAAAGGTGCATTAGCAGGTGACAGGGAGGCAGGTCTCTGGGTCAGGCTGCCTCGATTAATCATGGGACCATAACTTCTCTGCGCACTAGTTCCCTGATCTATAAAACCACCCATGGAGTAGTTGTGAGCATTAAGTGAATTAACACATGTAAATGCACAGTGTTCAGCTCAGAGGAGATACTCAACAAATGACAGTTGTTATCATTAGTCTAAATATAAAAATTCTAGTTCTACCATTTATAGTCCTTTGTCCTTCAAGGCAATAATTGAAATTATCTAGTGTTAACAAAACCATCTTTCTAAAGTGTATTTCATTACTGCAAGCTAATGACACGGTTAGTAAGACTGACAAAACCCAAAATGCTTCCTCACATGTTTCTCAGTCCACCTACGGTCTTTCATGCTCCTCTGTCACCTTTGGCTTCTAAACCGAAGACTGAGAGGCCAAGGCAGCAGCTGCCCATCACGCGAAGTAACTGGAGGCTCCTTTGTTATCCTCTCCTCCCGAGGGGCGGTCTCATCATGAACACAGTGGTTGGGGGCTGTAAACTGTGTGCCCCAACTAACCCAGCTTGACAGTCCAACGAGGAACTGTGGAGACGTACGGTGTGGGAAGAGCCCACACCTACTGCAGTGTTAGGAAACTCGGCCTCTCTGAGCCTCGTCAGTGTTACGACGGATTCTATGTACAACGTGACAGGATGGCAGAGGCCTGTGTGAGGTAGTGTATATTAAACATACGGGACTGAGCCCAGTGGAATTCTCTCTCTGATATTAGTGATGCTTACCCATGCCAGTAAGGAGAGAAAATAAAACTGAGGATAAAAGGGGAAAAACCCCACGGTAAACAAATAGGTATCTCAAATTCCATCCAAGGATGGAACCACATCTCTCAAGGGAGCTGCCATTTAGGAAAAGCTAAGGCCTAAACCGGGCTGTATGCAGGAGAGGAGAACACAGTGTCCTGAACTCTGCACAGAGCCGGTGCCAGGTGCTGCAGGACATACTGGGAGGGTCTGGTTCTGATTTAAAACAACTCTACCTTGTAGGAGAATATAACACACCTTCAGCATTTATACTGAGTTCTGTTGAATTTTCTTCTGCGGTTGCATATGGATTGTTTCCAACCATCGGCACAAGACAATCAGTATAGAAGTAACCAATCTTATACATATTCAGTGTGGAAATAATCAGATCTATTGCAAGCTGGCCAACATTTCCAACAGATACTGCTGGCTGCAACAGTAAAATAATATATTCATTAAGTCAACCAAATTAGCAGCACTTTAAAAAGTTTAGTCAGAAGACAACAATCACAGCACTGGTACTGCACGCTTACGCTAAGGTGAATCACAGCTGGATTCTGACCCCTTCATTAGCTCCACCTTTCAGACTACTGATTGAACACTTACTGAATACCCCAATGGAATGAATCTTCCATTTCCATAACGTAACATGGCTTCCCTCTTTACCACTCCACTGTCAAGGGTACCACTAGTATCTTTTGGACATTACTTTCTCTATGACATTTTTCTTTTTCTTTTTTTTGCCAGGTATCTCCTGCAAAAACACTTCTCGTCTTTTGTGATTAATAAATATTTTTCAGGGAGATACTTTGAAATGAAGTCAAATTTCCTTCCTCAGTACACTATCACATGCTAATTTAAGCATTTATTGACATTTTCTTTCTTTTATGGCCACGCAGCATGCGAGATCTTAGTTCCTGGACCAGGGATCAAACCCATGCCCCCTGCAGTGGAAGGGTGAAGTCCTAACCACTGGACCACCAGGGAAGTCCCCATTAATATTTCTTGTGTGCACTATTATGATGAAAATTATCAAAAAGTAACTTTCCTATTACCATCATCCTTTTAAAAAACTAAAATATAATTGACATATAACATATTAATTTCAGTTGTACAACATTGTGATTCGACATCTGTACATACTGCAATATGACGTCAACAGGTCTGGTTAGCAACCAACGCCACACAGTCAGAAAAAACTTTTTTTCTTGTGATAACTTTTTAAGATCTACTCTGTTAACAACTTTCAAATGTACAATACAGTATTAACTATAGTCATCATGCTTCGAGTTACATCCCAGGACTTATTTTTGACTAGAGATTTGTACCTTTGACCCCCTTCTCCCATTTTATTCACCCCTGCTGGCAAGCACCAATCCATTCTCCATATCTATAAGTTTTTGTTTGTTTTTTAAATTCCAAATATGAAGCATTTCTTAACAGGTCCTTGTGTCCCTCCCCCTCCCAATAAATCCTAGGGCCTTTCTGAACCTTTTTCAACGTTCTAACCTTATTTATATACATGTGTTTCCAACTAAACTGCAAACTCCTTGAGGACAAGAATCTAGTCTTTTTTGTCACATTTTGACACCACAGAACGCTCACTGAGTGAGCCAAAGTCCTTAGCAACCCGTCCGTAGTTTCCTGGCTAATGACAACGATTCGCTAGCTTGAACCTGACTCCCGAACTAACTGAGAAAAGGTTTTCCAGGATGAAATGTAAAGCGAATGGCCCGCACTACACCAGCTGAGCACAGGTCACTCCCCCGCACGTTCCGCTCTCAGCCACCAGGACTCGGGGCCGTAGACCCGCGCGCGTTCGGGGACCGCCGCTGGGACCCCCCCACCCCGCCCCCTCCCCCGGGGCCGGACTCACCATCAGGAGCGTGCACCCCGCGAGGTCGGGGACGGAGTCCCCACAGGGGACGAACATGGTCTAGACGGCTGCTACAGCAGGAAGAGCCTGCGGCCAGAAATGAGGGAGGGCGGTGCGCGGGGTCCTACGAGGCCTTCGGCGCGGGATTCTTCGAGGCCCACGGCGCGGAGTCCTGAGGTGCCCGTGCCACCGCCTGCCGAGGCGGCGCGCGGCAGGGCCTGCGTGGAGGGGCGGTGGCAGGGGTGGCGCCGCGGGAAGCCGGCGGGCACCGCGCGGAGGCGGCGGGCGGGGCCGAGTGGGGGGCGCCGGCCGAGATGACTGACAGGCGGCGCGGGGGCAGCCCGGCCGCCGTTTGGAAACAGCAGTTGGCGCCGCCAGGTTTCCCCGCCTGCCTGACGCGTCCGCCCGGGAGCGTGCGAGTCGAGCGGTCGCGGGCTCTCGCTCCGCAGCGGAGACGCTGCGGCGGCCGGGGCGCCCGAAGGGGAGCCCAGCATGTCGCTGCCTCCGGAGAAGGCGTCCGAGCTGAAGCAGCTCATCCACCAGCAGCTGAGCAAGGCGAGGCGGGGTGGGCGGCGGGGGCCGGGCTGGGGCGGGAGGCAATCCCCGCGGAGTCGCGTCGAGCACGGCTCTGGGGCCGCAGGCCGTCGCTTCACCGGGGAGGTGGCGGCGGAGGGGCTGCCGGTGCTCTGGAGTGGAAGTGCTGCCGGTCCTTGGGGCTCAGCTGGGGCCCCGCAGCAGCCGCCTCCCGCCCGCCGCGCGCCTGTGCCGAGTGTCGGCGTCTTTCAGCCCCGCCGTGGTCCTGACACGGCACTGTGTCCCCCAGATTCATAAAGGGTCAGTCAGTTAACTCACGGTCACATCTAAAAAGTTGAAAGCTGACATTTAGCCTTTGATCGCCTCCTGCAGGTCTCTGCTCTACTCTAAAAAAGCTGGTTTCGTTTGAGTGTTATTTGTGGGGAGATGCTAGCAAAGGTAATAGATAAGCAGTAGAGCTTATTTCTAGAATTCGTACTAAAAAATTCATCTTTAAAGGTTTTTTCCTTTTAAAAACGTTATCTTTATTCTCAGTGAATTTCGGTGACAATTTCACATTTACTGTTACTTTAGAGGTCTTTCTGAATTTAGTCTACACTCTCATTATGATTATTATTTTTGGGGGGGCGGGTCAGTATTTTAGAAAGAGGTTAGCTAGTTGGCAATCTTTGACTGATTTGTAACGTTGTAAGCCGTAATGCGAGTTTTCTGCATAGATGGATGTCCATGGCAGGATAAGAGAAATCCTTGCTGAGACCATACGGGAAGAACTGGCACCTGATCAACAACAGTTATCAACGGAAGATTTGATCAAAGCCCTTAGACGCCGGGGAATCATTGATGATGTGATGAAAGAACTTAATTTTGTTACTGTGAGTAATCTTTTAGAGGAAAAAATTTGAGAGTCTTAAGTATATTCTCATGCTTACTGCTGCTCGTAGGGTCCATATTTGGGGCCTCTCCTTTTAGTAAAACTACTTTTTAAATAAGACCATTTTGTCTAGTAATATCCTTGTCTCAAGTGTGAGCTACTCTACTCTTGAATGGAGCAGGTAGGATTATGCCTCTGTGAAATTGGAGTTATGGACCTGATTATTCCCTTTACAGTGAGAGTTTTCTCTTGTTATTTTCTAGGTCTGTAACTTTAAGTATATATATTAGTCAAATCAGTTCACTCCAACCTAATTCTTTTTTACTAATATTCTATAATTTTTCTAGATTAAGCTTACTTTTAAAATAAACACATTCTTTTGGCACTGTGTTTTCTAAGATGAACAAATTATCATTTCTTTAAGAAAATAATTGTCTGCATAAGAACCTTCAAGTCTTTTCATACAAATAGGTCAGTAGTGAGGTGATAGCCTCTCAGTGCACAAATTAGTAAGTAGGTCTTCTTTTGAAACTGAGGCAATAATGAGAGACTGTGACCTCAATACCTAGGTAATATATTGTGAAAATTGGAGGGACTTCATAATACACCAGGGAATAAGTGTTTTAGTACAGCATCCTTTTTTGGTTTTTGAGGTTTATAAACTCATTTGTTATAAAAATTGACCTAGTAACAGCTTCTGCTATGTGAATGTGTCACTTCCTTTTTAAAATCAGTTCTGGTCCTGGTGGAATCACAAGCTGGATGTTACATGAGGTTTGGAGAAAATTTAACCTTCTGTAAAGTGTTAAGAATTTGTTTTAGCATTCTGTGGACATGGCTTGAACATTAATTCCTTCGTGTTAGACTTTAGGAGTGACCAGTTGCATTACTGTTTTGGCAGGCTTTTCATTATTTTAACTCTGCTAGCAAAGTAAGGACATTTTGAGGGGGTTTTATCCTATCTACTTTTGGTTCAGTTCTTAGTTCCATTATTGGCATTTCCTTGCTTAACTATAATTTTTGTTTTCTAATTTGTTTTGATTTTTTTCTGCCATTCTAGGATAATGTTGATCAAGAACTCCCTTCCTCTCCAAAACAACCTGTTGGCTTTACTGACAGACAGTCAACGTTGTTAAAAAAAAGTATGTATATTTCTTTTTAACATTAATTTAGTTGTGGATAGTACTGCATATTGATGGGCTGTACTGTTTGGTATTTGATAGAAAACATTTCGATTTTTTTTTTTCCAGAATGAGATACTTATATTTTTGTGATTAATCATCCAAAAAACTTAGATTCTATTTTGCATGAAGTATATCAGAAGATTTAATGTATAGCTGGGTGGAAGCAAAAACAGGACCACCTGTTTCTCATATTTTATTAATATGTCTTATAAATTGTACAGCCTTGCTTTTTTAATGGCAATGTAATTATCTAACAAGTATACTAGCTGAGTTGGTAATTAACTGAGTTGCTTTGTGGAGGTGAAGGAATGTTGGATAATCAACTAAAAAATCAAGGTATCCTAAACCTTGGCTCAGACTTCTTTCTACCTGGGAGAAAGTAGCCAGAGTGTAAATTCAGAAAAAGATATCGTATTGGGTATCTTTTCTTCGCGGGGTACATAGGCGCTTGGTATCTAGTAAATATGTTACTCTTTATTTAGTCTTTGGTTTTATTTCTGTCAAGTTATTATTTCCTATTGTCTTGATCACATTGCTTAAGTTAATTGGCAGTTTCCTCATATATATTGCTACACTTTACAGCTAATATTGATCCAACACGGAGGTATCTTTACCTTCAGGTTTTGGGTGGAAAAGCTTTCTTGGAACATCTGCAAGAACCTGAGCCTTTACCAGGACAAGCTTGTTCAACCTTTACTTTATGTTTACATTTTCGAAACCAACGTTTTCGTTCTAAACCTGTTCCATGTGCCTGTGAACCAGATTTTCATGATGGCTTTTTACTTGAAGTACACAGAGAAAATTTAGGTAAGGAGCAATAATAAATTGCCATTTAATTTTGTAAATCTTTGTTAGGTTTTATTGCAGTACAACTTCTGCAATAAACAACTTCTGCTTAAGGAGAGATTTATAATGGATGAATCTCCCAGTCTTTTATTTTTTTTCCCTCGCTGCTTTTTTCTACTTAAACTACTTATACCTACTTTCTTGCTTTATTTTTTGCAAATTATTTTTCCCTGAATATTATTTTTTGACTGTTTTAATGGTTGGTTCTTTAGTAATAAAAATTTAAGTGCTTGTTAGGTGGAGAATGAGACAGGATCCTTCTCATTTATGAAAGATGGCTAGATTTACGATGTCATATAACTTTTACAATCAAAGTTTAGATGTGAATCTATTACTCATTTTTATGACTTTAAAATTATGATGCTTGATTACTGTAATTATTTTACATTGTTTCTTTCTGTAAAGGTATGTTACGTATTTTAGTTGTCAGTATCAAAATCTTTATAACATATTTGTAAACTTAACAGTTTTATAATTATACATTCAGAATTTTAGATTACTGAGATGGCTAATGCACTACTAAAATTTTGTTATTTTTTACCCGGTGAAAAATGTTACCTTAATAAGGCAGTTAATGGCTTAAATTGCTAGCTCCAAGGTGCTGGATCTTTCAGTTTTGTGTAGATAATACAGTGGTTGTTTCTAGAGGCTTTGGGATAAAGGTATTTTATTCCTAAAATACCTTTATTAAAGGGGAATAATGGTATAATGGTACCTTTATTAAAGGGAAATATTAAAGGGGAATGTTGATATATTTGAAGCCCTTTTATTGTGGTAGCATATATTATTTATGTACTTTTGAAGAGCAGACTTACCTCTTAGAGGTCAGAAAACACCAGTATTCATTAAGTAACTAAGTAACTTGTCACAGTTCCACCAATCCTCTCAAAAGTTAGTGATACAAATAGGACTGTACTTTTATTCCCAGTCTGTATCATGCTTCTTGAGGCATTGCCAACTTGCTCTGTTTGATTTTATTTGTTTATTATTAGTATCCTTTTCAATGAATGTATTCTTTTACGTTGGTCTAACTGGATATGTAATGTGGTGTAATTTTTTTTGTTTATGTTGCTAGGTGATGGAACTAGAATGGCTGATTCAACAACAATGTTATCAATAAGTGACCCAGTTCATATGGTGCTAATCAAAACAGACATATTTGCCGAGACCACTTTAGTAGCATCCTATTTTCTTGAATGGCGATCGGTTTTGGGCTCAGAAAATGGAGTGACCAATCTTACTGTGGAACTTATGGGTGTAGGTATGATGATTAATATCACTGTTACCTTTTTATAGCCACAGTTGGTTTGTAAATACATTTTACATTTTAAAAATGCCTTTGTAAGCCAAGGGGGAAACGTGTAAAAAGAGTTTCATTGGAATTACAGTGGTTCTATAATTACAGTTCTATAATTACAGTTATAGAACTTCACAGTCACTCTGGCCTTGTCTAAAGGAAAAAAAATTTTTTTCTGTGAGATGCATAAAAAAATCTTGACGGCTTTTTTCCTCCAAATTTATTTGCTATAAAGAAAGTTAAGATTCTTCACACACGCACGAATGCACTCACCCATACGTGACAACCTCCATCCTAGCACAGGCCAGAATACTGTGCATCCTGTCAGTGCCAGGGCCTTCCTGTACCAGCGGTTCTTGCAGAACATGGAGTAGGTATTCTTCTAACCTTTTACAGGTGGGAAAGGGGCTCAAAGAAGGGCTAATTTGCTCAATGTCAGTATCAATGGTAGTATTGTTTGAGAACAGAGATGGTACCTGTCTTGTCACCATTGTTTTCCTGGACTCTTGCATGCTACCTGATATGTAATACATATTTGCTAGTGGAATGAAAAACAAAATAAAACCTGCACTGTTTTAAACACTACATATTATGCAATTACTGGGTTGATCAAAAAGATCTTATGGAAAAACCTGGACGAACCTTTTGGCCGACCCAATACTTGTGGTATTGAAATTTGGTTACAGAGTTAAACTTGGCCAGTGGACAATAGAGCTTTAATAATTTAGATTTTGATAAGTTAGAACCCAGAATACATTTTTCCATAAGTAAATAGTAGGGAGAAAGCTCTATGTAGGAGATTTTTAAAAATATATATTTATTTATTTATTTGGCTGTGCTGGGTCTTAGTTGCGGCATGCGGGATCTGAGCAGGGATTGAACCTGGGGCCCTTGCATTAGGAGTGCAGAGTCTTAACCACTGGACCACCAGGGAAGTCCCAGGATATTTATTCTCAAAAGAGATACCTATTATTTGTTTTCAAATATAGACCTAACACGATAGTCATAGAATGACCTGGAAATTTCTGATTCATCAAAGAAATATTAAATAGTTCTGGTATGAAGTATATTTGTTTTCTAATTCTTTAGATCCTGGCATGGATTAAAAATTTGTACTCACATGTAATGTGAAAAATGGGAAGGGATAAATGGAAATTACTGTATGTGACAAAATGTATAAATATTTTCTGAGAATGAGGTGTTAACAGTTGCTTTGTACTCAGCCATAAAAAGGAATGAAATTGGGTCATTTGTAGAGACGTGGAGGGACCTAGGGAGTGTCATACAGAGTGAAGTAAGCCAGAAAGATGAAAACAAATATCGTGTAATAATGCATATTTGCAGAATCTAGAAAAATGGTACAGATGATCTTATTTGCAAAGCAGAAATAGAGACACAGATGTAGAGAACAAATGGATGGGTACCAAGGGGGGTGGGGTGGGAAGAATTGGGAGACTGGGATTGACACATATACATTATTGATACTAAAAAAAAGAAGAAGAAAAAAAAACCAGTTGCTTTGACTTTGTTTTTAATGAAGATAAAAATCAAGAATCATAAATTCTTTAGGTCTGAAAAGTCCTTTAAAATGTGATTTGGAAGCTAAGAAAATAGGTAATCTCCTTATAACTAGATAAAGGCCTTTGAACAAAATAAAAACTAATTTGATTTGGTTCATTTTTAATATGAATATTAAAGATGACATTAAATATTATCTTTATTTCATGTAAGTGGTAAAGTACAAAAATTCTTAAATTACTTTGGTTAAACTTTGATTGACTAAATATATATAGTATTAAAACTTCTGAAGTTATATTTATTTACATTTACAGGCACAGAATCAAAAGTTTCTGTGGGAATTTTAAATATAAAACTTGAGATGTACCCACCACTCAATCAAACATTATCTCAGGAAGTAGTGAACACACAGGTAAATAATCCTGAATTTCTCTTCTTTGTGTGTGTGTTTTCATAGTAGTATATTTACCTGTTAATTGTAGAAAGTGTTCTCTTTTTAGAAAATTATCATTTGTTAGTTTTAAGCAAGAGAAGGACAATATGAATCATTATTTAAAAATTTTTGCCTTGGGTCAAAAATGGTGGCTCTGACTACTGTATGGAGACTGGATTGTCCTGGGAAGTGTGAGAACAGGGAGACCAGTTAGAAGGCCCTTACAGACAAGCAATGGTGGTGTCTTCAATTAGGGTACTGGTAACGATGGAGGAAATGCAGAGATTTGTTGCATATTTGAAGTAATTAATTAAGCAGAATGAATATAATTGATATATATTCTTTAAATTTCAAGCTTGCTTTGGAACGTCAGAAAACTGCAGAGAAAGAGCGGTTATTTCTTGTGTATGCTAAGCAGTGGTGGAGAGAATATTTGCAAATTCGACCCTCACACAATTCACGGCTGGTTAAGATTTTTGCACAGGTTTGTAAATTGTATGAGAAAAGCTTCACACCTGTATTTGAGATTTACTGTTGTAAATGTAAATTTCATTTAATTTGAATTTGTAAAATGTATTTATTCCAGACAAATGAAAGTTTATTTATAAAATAGAATGCTGATTTTGTAGTACTCTCTTAAAGTAGTAAGTAGGTGCGCGACATAACACAATCTTTGTTTTATTTTGGTTTTCTTTTCCAATTGTTTTTCTAAACCTTTTTTGAATATATTTGATTTAAATTAGATAAAAACTCATTTTGTTTAACTTGGAGTGTGTCCTTGATAGATACTTTGTACTAAATAATTAAGTACTGGGACACTTTGCAATTTATATATAAATTCAACTTTCATGTGCAGAATTGGGAGTGTAGGCATGTATTTTTTTATTAGGGTACTTTTTTAAGGCAAACAATATTACATGTAATAATTTTATTTAACCCAGATCTCTAAGCTGGTGATCAGCAATATTTTACAGCAATTTAGTTATGTATCTCTGCCTCTGTTGTTTATTTTTATTATAATTTAAAAATATTTATTTATTTTTATTTGACTGTGCCAGGTCTTAGTTGGGCATGCGGGATCTTTAGTTGCAGCATGTGGGATCTAGTTCCCTAACCAGGGATCGAACCTGGGCCCTCTGCATTGGGAGCACAGAGTCTTAAATGCTGGACCGCCAGGGAAGTCCTCTGCCTCTACTTTTTCTGTATCCTAAGCCCATTTTCTCTTATTAATGAACCAACATAAGATAAATGATCAGATCCATTTTTTTTTTTTTTTACAACTTCTGAGGAACCATTCAAATATTTTATATGTATTCAGCCTCGAGTAGGTGCTTTCATATGAGTATAGTGTATTTTGGGTAGTATTTCTCAGATCCTATACATTTGTCTAGCTTTAACCTACATTCCCTAGATTTTAGAACAGGCTAAAAATGGTTCAGTTTCTAGGTGAGGAGCTTGAGAATGGGAAACCTAGTTGACTGGTGGTGGAAATGCGGGAAGTGGCTTCTGACTTTCCAATAGCGTTGTCTATACGTTGAATGACTGGGCAGGTGACGTCAGGACAAGGGTGAAGAGAAACCAGTTGAGGTATAACTGGCTCCCTGCTGTCTATATAGTCTAGGGTGCGGTTATTCACTGCCCTGTGGAATCCCAGACCAGAGGGGGGAACCTGCACAGGGAGGGAGGGAGGAAGTGGAACAGAGAAATGGCACACGGAAGAGCTGAATAATGTCCTGTTGTGTATACATACACACCACACTTTCTTTATCCATTCACCCCTTGATGGACACTTAGGTGTTTCCGTAACTTGGCCATTGTGAATAATGCTGCAGTGACCTGCGATGGGTGTGCAGGTATCTCTTTGAGATGCTGATTTCAGTTGCTTTGGATGTACATCCAGGAGTGGGATTGCTGGGTCGTACGATGGTTTAAGTTCTTACTGTCACAGGCTTTGGAGTCACATGGCTCAGTGTTTGAATCCTGGCTCTGTTGTGTAATAGCTGTAGCTTCAGTTTCTTTAACTTTATTTATTTATTATTGTATTTATTTATTTTTGGCTGCATCGGGTCTTCGTTGCTGTGTGCTGGCTTTCTCTAGTTGCAGCGAGCCGGGGCTATTCTGCGTTGCAGTGTGCGGGCTTCTCATTGTGGTGGCTTCTCTAGTTACAGAGCATGGGCTCTAGGTGTGTGGGCCTCAGTAGTTGTGGCATGAGGGCTCAGTAGTTGTGGCACGAGGGCTCAGTAGTTGTGGCACATGGGTTTAGTTGCTCTGCGTGTAGCTTCAGTTTCTTTATCGATGAAATGAAAATAATAAGAGATGTTATGAGGATTAAAAGAAAAATTGCATGCACAGCACTCAGCAGCCTAGTGCTGCATGTCAGGTGAGCACTCAAGAAGTGGTGTCCAGAATTACTTCCTCTCATTAATGTATTCTAAGAAAAAGTGTTAAAATTGGGAATGATTAACCTGTCATTACAGATAATGTTTTCCCCTTCTCCTCCAGGATGAAAATGGGATAAATAGACCAGTCTGTTCTTATGTTAAACCACTTCGAGCTGGGAGGCTTCTGGATACTCCAAGGCAAGCAGCAAGATTTGTTAATGTCCTTGGTTATGAAAGAGCCCCTGTTATCGGAGGAGGAGGTAAACAGGAACAGTGGTGCACTCTGCTGGCCTTTCTCTGTAGAAACAAGGTATCCTACACACATAATAGAACTAAAAACCAGTACATCATAGTTATTGTGAGTTTATGGTATATTTGTAAAAGAATTAACTTCGGAAAAAAGTACGTATTGTCAATTTGAACAAGTCAGGATCTTGTTTTCATCATTTTCCTTAACATTTAAATGTCAGTACATTAAAAAAGAATTTCACATCTTTATTTTCTCATGAATTTCTTATTTAACATAATGTGATTTTTGTGAGGTTTAGGGACCTACAAGCACTATAGTGTCAGAAAGCAAGGTGGAGAGGTAAACAGTGAATTAGATATAGCACCAAGACCAGAACCATGGTCTTTTAGTACTATTCATGGGTTAAAATTTGCTTAGATGGTACTTTTTTTTTTTTAAAGAGAAAATGGCAGTTACAAAATGAATATGGAAAAAAATGTTAGATTGCATGGTATTTAGTTCCAAATATAAGTATATATTTAAGAATTTGTGTATATATATTGATGTTGAATGTAAATGATTTCAGTAAACTAATTTTATATATTATGGTATATTTTCTAATTTTCTGTGTTCTAAAATTTTGATATTATGAAAACAAGACTATCTTTAGCATTCCAACTCTGTTGAAACACAACAGAAAAAATAAATTTCTTTAATTTATTATTGTTTTGAAATAATTTTTAGTCTGAAGTTGTGTAAGTAGTACATATGGGTATTCTCAAGGCAAAGCTTATACATTGGAAGAAACCATTTAGATTAGAGATTGATTTGTCAATTGGAAAGATTTTTAAAGACAATTGAAAACAGTTAAACATTACTTATCAAAAGAATTATTTTGATTTATTCCCAAGTTGTAGTTCCCAGAAGTTGTATGTATGGATTTAAACTTAAAATAAAAATTTCAAATATAGTAGGAATGGTACATATTTTAAATTATTATCTAAATAATTCTTTTGTAAAACAGATAATCACCCCCTTTGATTCTCTGTTTTATTTTCTTTACCTGAGTTTATTTGAAGAGATAGCACAGCTTGACTTAGAAGTTTGAAAATTATTTAAAATATTTTTCTTGCACAAACAATAGCTTTACAACAGTAGAGGTGAAATTTCACCCCATAATTCTATTTTTCATCTATTTTTATATTTTTATGTTTCTCTCCTGTGTATATATGATTTTTTCCATAATTATAATTGATGTAAATAAAATTTTGTGCCCTGCTTTTATAAATTAGCATTATGTTTTGAACATTTTCCTATGTGTTGCTATAGTCATTATGATCTCCATCTTTTAATGGCTGAATAAAGTTTTCATGAGTTGATATACAAAATCTACTTAACTGTTTTGTTGTCATAGGATCTGTTTTGCCATCATAGGAACTGTTTCTTTTGGCTAAGTTAGGCTTGCTTCCAATTTTTTTGATATCACTATGAATGAATTTTTGCATTGAATGTCTTTGGTTATATTGTTATTTTTCTTTTGAAATTTTTTTCTAATATAAAATCTCATGTATAGAAATAACTGGGTCTAAAAGGTTGGATATTATATTTTTCAAAAGTCAATTTAACAATTATAAGGTGCTATTTTATTATTGTTAATTAAAAGACAGCAGTGTAGAGCCACTAATGCAAAATTTGGGGGGAAAGAAATCATCCCTCATTCTAACACTGAACTCAATAGTTATTTTTGCTTTTGTATATTACCTGTAGTCCTACACTTAAATATCTTCATATAATTATAGCCTTACTGTTTAATTAATTTTAATACTTTTTTCACAGAAAATGTCAGATATTTTCTATTATTTTTGTTGTTTCATAATTTTTTAAAATTGTGAAAGTAATATAACATTATCAAAGACAGTTTAGACAAGAGAAGGGGAAACTATATATATATATAATCTACGCTAATTGTAGCTATTGTTGGTGTACTGTTGTTCTTTTATCCAATCATTTTTTTCTATATATGTATTTCCTTAAGACGATCATGTATAGATAGTTTAATTCATTGTTTTAATTTAAGTTTGAGTATTTTCCCGTTTATTTTCATTTCCTACTGTATGATTTGTCAGCTTGTGTGTTCATGCTCTTTAGCTATTTATCTTTAAATTCTTGCTGCTTTCCTTCTATGTTGTATGAGTTCTTTATAAACTTTGAAATCTTAAAGTGTACCTATTATGACTATCAGATTTGTAGGCACTAACTTTGTAAAATAGGTGCTTTTAAAATTTGTATGTTCTTTTTTTCCCTCATTGTTTTAGCTTAACACTGGACTAATGATTAAAAGTGAAAATTTAATAATACTTTTTAATTGCAATTTTGTATTTAAATATTTAAAGAGGAAACAATATGAAGGAGTAAATAGTTAATTTTACTTCCTTTCGTTTCCAGGGAGACTGTGAAGACCATGCCAACCTCCTGTGCAGCCTCCTTCTTGGATATGGGCTGGAAGCCTTTGTCTGTGTCGGGACAAAGGCCAAGGGAGTGCCCCATGCGTGGGTTATGACGTGTGGGACTGATGGAACCATCACTTTTTGGGAGAGTTTAACAGGACACAGGTTTGTCAACTAAGTTTATAAGGATATTAACATGAAGGTGTAAGTGTTGTAAACTATAGGTTCTTTGTTTGTATTGATGATACTCAAAGACACGTACTGGTAATTTTGGTTATGTAAAAAATTACTTCAAGTAATATAGCTAGGAACTAAACTCTAAGAAAATTTGTACACCTAAAATGTTCTTTACCAACATGATATTAATAAAAAATGAATTATGTTTATTTTTAGTTTTGTGTAATTGGCTTATGTTTCTTCTTTTCTTTTTTTTTGGCTGTGCATGCCACGTGGCACGTGGGATCTTAGTTCCCCGAGAAGGGATTAAACCCGTGCCCCCTGCAGTGGAAGTGTGGAGTCTTAACCACTGGACCACCAGGGATGTCCCGGCATATGTTTTTCCTGATGATCATCCCTAAGCCTAAAAATAAATACAAGTTGTAAATCATTTCTTTTGAAAATTTGATGTGGTTACCAACTCTGTGTTGGTAAATCCACTGTACTTCTTTTCAGTGTCATCAGATTTTGAAAGAGCGAAATGTTCCCTCCTTCCTGGAACATTCTCTTCCATAGCTTCTCTTGTAGCACTGTGTTTCAGTTTTCATTATTCCTCTTTGGCTGTTCTCTGTTTTCCTTCATTTTATCTTCAAATGTGGGAGTTCCTGAAGGCACAGCCTTGGGCCCTCTTCTCATTTTCCTGGGTTTTCTTTTTCCTTGGTTGATAATCATTTTAATTAGTTGTACCTAAAAATGTGTAACTAAATTATTTTGTTATCTGATAAATGTTTTTGATCTTAATGCTAAACACAGAATATGTTCTTGTGTTAAAGGAATAAAATTGGTTCTATATTGTAAGATGTGCCATACAGTTAACATAGAGTAATCAAATTGTGGAAATAGAAGAAGGAAAAGCAAGTATTAAACTGTAGTCCTGGGAAATAGTTATGACCTTAAGTGTTAGAATAATTTTTTTCCTCAATAAGCTGCTGTTGTCTTAATTTTTAAGTTCTTATTATATAAAATTATGATTAACCTTTTTTAGGTATCTCCACAAACCTATCAGTCCTGATGAGCCTTCAGCTGCTGAACAGCCCAAACCGTTGTACCCGTATCGAACAATCGGTTGTGTTTTCAATCATCAGATGTTCCTGGGAAACTGTCAGCCCTCTGACTCAGTAGAAAGCTGTGTGTTTGATTTGAATGATGAGTCCAAATGGAAACCCATGAGTGAGGAAGCAGTTAAATCCGTGTGTGCTCCAGGGGCCACCACGTCCCTCCCTCCCTTCCCTCCGCTGTGTGCATCCACGATCGATGCTTCGGTAACAAGCAATGAAATTGAAATGCAGCTCAGGCTACTCGTGTCGGAACACAGGAAGGTAATTAACACTGACGTTTGTGCTTTCCTGCAGTTTTTTCATTTGTTTATGTATTTAATAATTTGGGGGGGCATGTAAAATAGTGCCAATCAATATTCTAGCCCTAAACAAAGCAAATTCAATCCGTTCCTTTATGAAGCTTGTAGTTTTGAAAATCATGAGAATAAAGTTCTGAGATTCAAAAATTTCTAAACTCACCAATACTTCGAGAATTTATTACTTCCTTCTAGAAATGAAGAACGGTGGACTTGTTCAGACTTCTGTGAATTTGGATTTCCTCTTTTTAAAGTACTTATTCACATCATTCCCCATTGAAAATATTGGGTTAATTTTTTCATATTCATTTTTTTCCAGGTTTGTTTAGTTTGTTTTGTTTTTCTATTACATTAAAGTAGGTAGATGTAAGATGGTATCCTCATTGTGTCTTTAATTTGCATTTCCCTAATTACTAATGAGATCAAGCTTCTTATTAGTCATTTAGATTTCTTTTATAAAGGGCCTTAAAGGAAACATAAAAAGAACTAATCATAAAGGAAAAGATTAGTATACTTTAAGAACATATGTTCATCAAAAGAAATCATTAAGAGAGTGAAAAAGCAGCCTTGGAGTGGGAAAAGTTATTTGCCACACATATAACCAACAAAAGACTAGAGTCCAAAACTTCTACAGAAGATTGATTTCTAATTCACCTTTTAGGATTCCCTAGTAGACTCCTCAACTTGGGTGAGCCCTGATACTCATGTTCCTTGAGACCATCAAAGGCAAGCTGATTATCAAGTATGTTCTCTGGGCTCCCAATTACTCTTAGCTTTGGCCTCTAAAATCTTACTTACTTGCCAACTCCTCAGAGCATTTAGGAATATGTTTTGGGAAGTATTTAATGTGGCATCTGTAGTGTGTTTGCAGCAATAGGTGGGTCAGGGCCCCAGCTCACTGCATCGCTGGAAGCCAAAGCCCCTGCCTTGTGCCCTCCATTGCTTGTATTGCCTTTTAGTTTTCTTAGCTCCTGTTCACAAATGAAACCAATATTTTATTACATTATAAGAGTTACTTTGTATAGAAAAAGAAAACAAAACTGAGCTGGATGCCATTGATGATCACTAGCTAAGTTAATGGTGTCTGTAAACCAGCAAGTGGGATTCGGAGGAAAAGTACAGGTGATCATAGACCTTGGAATCACTTGAAACCAGTTGTAACTGAATGTGAAATTAGATCTGTAATGATAATCAAAATATTTAGAATTTTGAGTTTGTTTGTAACATTAAAAAAATATCACATGTCTAGATAGCAATAGTTCATTTGATATTATAAATGACATTAGAATTGCCTTCAACATGTTTTAAGTTCCCTGAGGGCCTAAAGCCTTTGCTCTTTGGTACCTTTTACAGAATAAATGCTTGGTAAATATTTGAGTTTAATTATATATGCAATTTGTTTGTTGACTTTTCTCCCATACTACAGTTGAATTTATGGTGGGAGCAATCAAATTAAGCAGATTCAATCTTGCTAAACTCTTTAAAGTTAAATAAAATGTGACCTCAGGTGCCTTCCCTGGTGGCGCAGTGGTTGAGAGTCCGCCTGCCAAAAAAAAAAAGTGACCTCAGAATTCAGTGACACTCTGTCTTCTGCAGTAGGATGATTCCTTATGGTCTTGTGGATATTAAGGAAGTACAGGATTTGGAGCCTTCACTAACATCATTGCATTGGCCGATTTTTGTTGTTTCTCTAAGAAGTAAAACCTGATACCTGTGGTTCCTTTTATAATTTTTACTTCTGTGTATCCTTATAATAATAGGAAGTTAAGAAAATTACGGCAGGTTTTAAAAATCTTTTGGCATACATTAAAATAATCAATTATTAAAATAATCAATAAAATAATCAATTTCCCTTTCGATTGCTGTAGGATCTTGGCCTCACTACTGTTTGGGAAGACCAGCTTTCCTATCTCTTATCACCAGCTCTGGCATCTTATGAATTTGAGCGTACAACCAGTATATCTGCGGGCAATGAAGAATTTCAGGACGCCATCAGGAGGGCTGTACCTGATGGTCACACATTTAAAGGGTTCCCGATACACTTTGTGTATAGAAATGCGCGGCGCGCCTTTGCCACATGTCTTCGGTAGGTGGATTGTGACATCATAGATGTTTCTGACTTAATCTCAGCCATCAGTATGGTTCTCATTTAGGAATGAGTTCAGAGTCACACAGGCAGCTCTTATGATACATCCTCCTGCCACAGGTTGTGATTCATTAGGACCGGAATGTAGCTCTAGAGTTCGGGATAATTTTCCCAATGGTTTTGGTGCAGTCTAGTTGAGGATCACTGATCTTATCTAGCGTCACTTTAAAAATTTATAGACTATGAGGAAATAGTTTATAATTTGAATAGTTTTACCAAAATTATAGAGCCATTGGTAGCAGAGACAGGATTTTTTTTTTTTTTTTTTTGTGGTACATGGGCCTCTCACTGTTGTGGCCTCTCCTGTTGCGGAGCACAGGCTCCGGACACGCAGGCTCAGTGGCCATGGCTCACGGGCCAAGCCGCTCCATGGCATGTGGGATCTTCCCAGACCGGGGCACAAACCCACGTCCCCTGCATCGGCAGGCGGACTCTCAGCCACTGTGCCACCAGGGAAGCCCCAGAGACAGGATTTTTAAAAATCTTTTTTTTTTAACATCTTTATTGGAGTATAATTGCTTTACAATGGTGTGTTAGTTTCTGCTGTATAACAGAGTGAATCAGCTCTACGTATACATATATCCCCGTATCTCCTCCCTCTTGCGTCTCCCTCCCACCCTCCCTATCCCTAAAAATCATTTTAAATACTGACTTTCTTGGGAATAAGAAAGTAAAACCTAAATTCATTTCTTAATTGAATACATTTTCTTTTTTTTGTAGGTCTCCTTTCTGTGAAGAAATAATCTGTTGCCGCGGAGACCAGGTGCGACTGGCAGTTCGTGTCCGAGTGTTTACTTACCCTGAATCTGCATGTGCTGTTTGGATCATGTTTGCTTGTAAATATCGCTCAGTACTATAGGACTAACATTTCTATAAGAATATACCTGTATTTTATTGGAATTTTACACATTGTATTGATACATTACTAGCTGTTTAGAGGTTCATTATTATTATTATTTTTTTTTTTTTTCTTCGGTACGCGAGCCTCTCACTGTTGTGGCCTCTCCTGTTGCGGAGCACAGGCTCCGAGGCGCAGGCTCAGCGACCATGGCTCATGGGCCCAGCCTCTCCGCGGCATGTGGAATCTTCCCGGACCGGGGCCCGAACCCGTGTCCCCTGCATCAGCAGGCGGACTCTCAACCACTGCGCCGCCAGGGAAGCCCATGAGGTTCATTATTTTAAAAAGCACAGTCTGGCTTGGATGTCATATTTCACTTTTGTATATACCTGACTAATAATGTTTGAAAAAAAATCATGATGTGTGTATTTAAAAATTAAGGATGAAAAACTTATATAAATCTGAGTGGAAGTTAGTATAAATTAAGTGTGTATTCTATTTTAGTAAATGCTACTTTGTTTATAGGTAGTCAGTAGTTTAAATATGAATATAAAATTTACTCAGTTTTCTTTACATTAACAGGTAATCAGAAAGTTATTTGTCTAAGGGTTTGAGCCATAGTAAAATTAATATGATTATTATTTTTCATAGATTAATGGGATTATTTTATATGTTAGGAGACTTTAACTTCACAACAGATTTATTTATTACATAGGTGAAAATACATTTTTTTTTTTGTGGTACGCGGGCCTCTCACTGTTGTGGCCTCTCCCGCTGCGGAGCACAGGCTCTGGATGCGCAGGCTCAGCGGCCATGGCTCACGGGCCCAGCTGCTCCGCGGCATGTGGGATCTTCCTGGACTAGGGCACGAACCCGTGTCCCCTGCATCGGCAGGCGGACTCTCTACCACTGCGCCACCAGGGAAGCCCGAAAATACATTTTGATGAATTTACCACTTTTGTGGTTTATCCATAACCATAGGGATATTTGTGACTTTCCAGAGAGTTATGGGAAGATATGGATGAAGGAGCAGGGAAAAAACTAGTACCAGAAAAGCATAAATATTAGTAACAAAGCAAACTGCACTTGAAAGTACACAAATAATTTATAAATATTTGTTAGTTTGATTCATTATAAAAGTGAATTGGGTATTTTATTTTATTTTATTTTATTTTTTATATGTGGATCAGTGCTATTTATTTGTTCAATTTTTTAATTTTATTACAGTTGATTTACGACATTGTGTTTGTTCTGTTTTTCATTTCAATTTGTAGACTCTTCCCTCCATACTTTGTTCTTTTGTTTTGTTTTGTTTTGTTTTTTTGCGGTACGCGGGCCTCTCACTGTTGTGGCCTCTCCCGCCGCAGAACACAGGCTCCGGACACGCAGGCCCAGCGGCCACGGCTCACGGGCCCAGCCGCTCCGCGGCATGTGGGACCCTCCCGGACCGGGGCACGAACCCGCGTCCCCTGCACCGGCAGGGGGACTCCCAACCACTGCGCCACCAGGGAAGCCCAAATTGGGTATTTTAGAAAAAATTTATCATACCCTTTTGTTATGATGTTGAGAAGTTGTTTTCTGTAATTAATATTTTGGCAGTCTGTTGCTGGCTGATTTTCTGTGGTCAGAGGATTCATTACTAGCCTCTCATGGAGTCCATCTTCTGAAACCAGTTTTTCTTTCTTTCTTTTTCCCTTTGTGGTAAAAACATCGATGTATATATGATAAATCTAAATCAGAATTGTGTGTGAGGCTACTGAAAAATAAGCCTCTGTGAGCGCCTCCATGCCGATGTTTGATTTTAAATTGAGCACAGTGAGCGTTGAAGAAACAGACTGTAGCAGTTTGACTGTAAGAAGCTGCCTGACGGATTACTTTGCAGGTCCGTCAGCCTCTGCACAGCTCTCGGTTCAGTTCCTTCTCCCACTGGGCTTCTTAGGAAAGTGACTGTGTACAGTTGGCTGTGCAAGTTATTCTTTTCATCACTTTAATTCACCATCACAAATAAGATGATTTAATGTTTTAAAAATTAAAGATATCCTAAAATTTACTTTTTTAATTTTTACATATGATAACTATTTATGATTTCACTTGTTTAAAAAATCTGAAAATATCTCTCCTATATCAATTTTTGTTGAAAACAATCAGGAGTTTCTTGAGAGACTGACATGACTTTAGAGGATTAGCGAGATATGAGTTAGACTTTTACTCTGTTGCTGGAATTACTCACAAAGCTGTTGACAGAGAAATTGGCTTGTAGTTTTCAACTTCTGGAACAAACTCTTTATGAGGCACGTACTAAGAGGCAGACTGTATAATATATGAGATCAAGGCCATGTGTTATCTTTGAGGCTGGGCTTTCTACCTTATTGTGCCAGAGTAACACAGGTACTTATAATGCGCCTTCGGTGTAAATTCTAAAATAAATTTCCTTTTTATGCACTTTAATAGAGTCTGGCATGAATTAATATTTTCCTTTAATGATGGTTTATTTCCAAATATTATTTCAGTCCTTTTATCACTAGAATTCTGCTATTCTTCTTACTAATATTTTTTCTTTTTAAAAATAAATTTACCTTGTATATTTAGCTCTGTCATAAAAATTGTTTTCCTATTAAAATTGTAAACTTTTTAAAATATAATGCTTCTATTGTGTTCTTTTAAAAAATACTTATTTATATATTTATTTGGTTGTGCTGGGTTTTCTTTTTTTTAACATCTTTATTGGAGTATAATTGCTTTACAGTGGTGTGTTAGTTCCTGCTTTATAACAAAGTGAATCAGCTATACATATATCCCCATATCTCCACCCTCTTGTGTCTTCCTCCCACCCTCCCTATCCCACCCCTCTAGTTGGTCACAAAGCACCGAAGCTGATCTCCCTGTACTATGCAGCTGCTTCCCACTAGCTATCTATTTTATATTTGGTAGTATATATAAGTCCATGCCACTCTCTCACTTTGTCCCATGCTGGGTCTTAAGTTGCATTAGGTGGGCTCCTTTAGTTGCAACTTGCTGGCACCTTAGTTGCAGCAGGCGGGCTCCTTAGTTGTGGCATACGAACTCTTAGTTATGGTATGTATGCATGTGGGATATAGTTCCCTGGCCAGGGATTGAACCCAGGCCCCCTGCATTGGGAGCGCAGAATCTTAACCACTGCACCACCAGGGAAGTCCCTAATGTGTTGTTTTTGACAATATATACACTAACATAGTTCTCTCTACATATGTAATATATAATAGGTATATTTATTTCATAGAATTTCAGAAACCTAGAAGCTTCATTAGTCAAGCATGAACTTGTTGAATAAAACTTAACTAAATTCAGTTTCAACTAACTGAACACTCCAGGTGCTTTTAAGATATTTTCTAGTATTGAGGTATACATTTTTAGCTATGATCTGCAAAAGCATCTATAACCTGGCAGTTCTGGAAGGTACACACATTTGAAACCCATTTTTCTACTTCTTAACAAAGATAAGAGTTGAGCCAAATGAACTGAAGGCTTATATCTGAAAATAATATATCTCATAAAGTAGTATCCTGTGCCAGATATCTCACTATTGGAAGACATTAGTTATGAAACATGAATTGCTTAAACTAATTCAAACTTCTGGTTTCATGCTCTACTAAACAAGAAAATAGCTTAGGTTAGACTACAGTTTGCAGTTTCATAATTTTTTTTTTAACTCAGGTAACAATTTTGTACTTTCTACTTAAATAGATAAGTATAGGAGTTAGATCTGTTTTTTAACATGCACCTACCTGTTATACCAATGAAAGTAGCATTGCTTTCCAGCAGTTGGTAGTTAAGAAATCATTTGAGACTAGCCAAAGCGTATATAAAATCTTAACAAAATAACCAAACACATGAACTAGAAGCCATCCAATTTTGAAGAACCTTAACATATAGTTTATAGCATACTCTACATCTAGAGCACAACTTCAGTTATAATTACAAATGCATGTTTCTGTTGTGCTGGTCTCTTCTGTTGTGCTGGTACCATACATTTTAATTATCACTACTTTGTTGTAAGTTTTGAAACTGGGAAGTGTGAGAGTCTTCCAACTTTGTCCTTTTTCAAGATTGTTTTGGCTATTCTGGGTCCTTTGCAATTCCATAAGAATTTTAGAATCAGCTTGTCAATTTCTACAAAAAGGCAGGCAGGATTCTAGGTTGCCTTGAATTTGTGCCTTGCTTTGGCTAGTATCACCATCTTAATAACGCTAAACCTCATGATTCATGAGCTTGGGTTGTTTTCACATTTATTTTAAATCTTTAATTTCCTTCAACAATGTTCGTAGTTTTCAGAGTGTAAGTTTTGTAGTTCTTTTGTTAAATTTATTCCTATTATTCTTTTTGATGCTATTGTAAATGGATTTTTCCCCTTAATTTTATTTTTGCATTGTTCATTGAATGTGTACAGAAATACAATTGATTTCTGTATATTGATGTATCCTGCAACCTTGCTGAACTCACTTATTCTAATAGTTTTTTTCTTTTGGTGGATTCCTTAGGATTTTCTTTATACACAATCAAGTTATCTGAAGGAGAGATAGTTTTACTTCTTTTCCGATCTGGATGTATTTACTTATTCATTCACTTATTTGCCTAATTGCCCTGACTGGTACCCCCAAGCACAATGTTGAATAGAAGTGGTGAAAGCGGACATACTTGTCTTGTTCATGATCTCAGGGGAAATCATCTAGTCTTTCACCATTAACTGTGATGTTAACTGGTTTTTTCATTGATGCCCTTTATTAGGTTGAGGGAGTTCCATTTTACTCCTCCTTTAAAAAATTTTTATCACAAAAGGGTACTGGGTTTTGTCAAATACTCTTTCTGTGTCTATTGAGACGATTATGTGATTTTTGTTTCTTATTCTATTGATATGGTGTATTACATGAATTAATTATCAAATGTTAAACCAACTGTGAATTTCTGGGACAAATTGTACTTGGTCAAGGTGTATAATTCTTTTTATATGTTGCTGTGTTCAGTTCTCTAGTACTATTTTGTTG